TAAGACTGAGGAGATAGATAGATATAGACTGATAGATAAGAACAGACTGAGGATAAGAACAGACTGAGGAGATAGATAGATAGATAGATAGATAGATAGATAGATAGATAGATAGATAGATAGATAGATAGGAACAGACTGATAGATAAAAACAGACTGAGGAGATAGATAGATAGATAGATAGATAGATAGATAGATAGATAGATAGATAGATAGATAGGTATGTAACCACGGTTTCTACCAAATATGACTTATTATTTAATAAAGAACAATTCACGGCAAAGTCGAGTTATTGAGGTTTATGATTTGAATCATAACGTCAGATGTACTGTAGTTTTTCAAGCGCGAAACGCCCAAAAGTGTACGAACAGACACAGAACAAAAACAATTGTTTGTGACAGCTTAAATTATCTTATGGGTTTATCGCCTGTCGTGGTACAAAGCAGAATTTTCCTTGGTATTTCTTTTGGCAATGAACTTTATTTAGTGTTGACTATATTTCCATCGCGTTATATATAGCATGTTCGACTTTTTGGGAGAACTAGATTCATGCCTTCTGTTAAGAGAATACTGCGAAGCGAATATCAAATTCATACACCCCGAATTCTTACTTGATTCCCCGCAAATATATGTTAAAAGAATTGATTATATGAGGGAATTTTCCTGTCGTCCTCGTCGTATGACGCAACAAAACAGTCAGACTAAAAGCACATACTATAGTAGAGAAGGCTTGGGCAAAAACATCAACAAGCTTTGTAAGGACTGAGTAGAGGCAAATAGAGAACATCTTGTGTTACAAGGTCCTCAAACAACCCAGCCCCTAATTTTGATTTAACGATATATATGTATATATATATATATATATCTTTCAAGATATTTATCAAAGGTCTGATACAATAATTATGGCTGTAGATTCATATTGACATATATTCAATTTAACGTGTATCAATACGCGTTATCATTGCTAATATATACATATATATATATATATATATATATATATATATATATATTCTGTTTATACGTATTTTATAGATACAAATAATTAAGTGCCCTCTTTATAATAAACAGTATTAACAACATTTACCAGCTTGAATGTCCGAGAAATTTCATAGAAAATATGTGTGCTCCGAGTGAAATCGAACCTGTATCCTACACGGAACCAGCATTTAGTCTGACGTGCTATACTATTTAGCTACAGACGAAGCGCCTGGTTAGCAAGTTCAAATTACTGTTTTTAAATTAAGATTTTCCATGATTTCTCCCGAACGCTCATATCAACTCGAAGCCTATCTTAATATAAACAAATGACATCATATATTTAAAAAATGAACTAATCCGACAATTATTTTAATATATTTTCTGTTTATACGTTATTTTTTATAGTTACAAATACTGCTTACTTATTGTTTTATATACAAATACTGTTTATTTATTGTTTTATATATAAGTTTGACTCAGATGAACTTGTCTGCTTCTGATATATGAAACAATCTTTCCTGGGACCCTTATTTCTCGTTATCAGCAAGAGAGTCTGGCATATATATATATATATATATATATATATATATATATATATATAGATATATATATATATCCAGAACACATAAAATAATGGTAAAGTTTCCCAATACAATCCTAGAAACCCGAAGCTTGTGAAATGAAAAATTGAATGAAATTGTGAAAGAAAAAGAAACTAAGACGAAAAGGGGGAAGAACCATAAAATAAAGCAAAACCACATGAGAGAAAAGACATAGATCTAACTTTTCATTGACCCAAAGTGCTCAATAACTCTGGCAAATAGGCATGAGAGCGCAGTCACTCTAACCAGCGAATAACATAATCACACAAGGCTTGTTCCTTGTTGCATGATGAACGTTCTGCATACGTTAAACTCAACTAACGATATGAACTGCGCCTCTTTGTGCGGTTTCGTTGGTTTGTATATTGGCTCCTGAAAAATTAATTTCAGTTGAGCTCTCTGGGGAGGAGGTGCGGGTTGGTAAACAGTGACTATTATAGCTATATAGCGAGACTCTTCGCTAATGCGAATTGAGTCACTCCCGGTCACTGGGCGTGTTTATAAAAAATAAAACACGCTAGAAATCCAAATTCCTCCCTACCGTTCGCCGATGGCTTAATGGTTAGAATCTCCGACTAACACCAGTTCAGTCGGGTTTCGACCCTAGCTAGAGGCAACCGAATGTCTAGCCACACTGATGAGTTGCGAAACAGTCTGTCTGTGGATGACGGTATATATATATATATATGTGAGTGTGCATATATATATATATATATTATGAGTGTGTGTGTGGCGTAGGATCGATGCATATAACATGTGTGCGTATATATATATTATGAGTGTGTGTGGCGTAGGATTGATGCGATGCATATAACATCTATATATATTATATGTGTGTGTGTCGTAGGATCGATGCATGTAACATTTTCCCATGATAAATAATTTTTATTTAATAAAAAATCCTTTTCTTTTTCTTTATATATATATATATATATATATATATATATATATTCCCTGTACTCATGATTATTTTTAATCTTTCATTGCTTCATTTTTTTAGGGTAAACTGTGGAAAATCGACCTTAGTAGGTCTTACTCGTGCACTTGTTTCCGTTTACCACTTGTGCGCCATTTCTACTCACTTGTACAGAAATCATGGAAGAACTGCGTGAAGGAAAATTGGTGGTGGTGGTGGTGGGGGGGGTTATGGTTCAGTGACTGAGAAAAGAAGTGGAAAATCTAGAGGAATTAACTGCTTCTTCCTGTTCTCAAAGTGAAGACAGATTGAGTTATTTGGTGTTATTCTCATGAATAAAGACGTTTGAAGAGCATGAAGTTAAGAGCATGTGGTTGATGGTTTCTACAAGAACGTGATCGATGAATTTGCCAACAAGAAACGAAGAACAGAATTAATTTAGAAATAAATACATTTGAGATATATCATTTTATTATATTTTATTATTTTCTCAGATTTATCTGGTAAACATGAACGATAATCATGAACAGCATTCTCTGTTTTCAAAGTTTTCAAAGTTACTCTTAGCCATTCATAAAATATATATATATATATATATATATATATATATATATATATATATATATATATATATATATAAATACAAATATAGATAACTATACTCGTTTTGAAAAACCCTCGAATTTTTTGATTTGCCAATAATCAAATCAATCTCGAGGGAAAAAAGGTTTTAAAAAGAAAGAGCTAGAAACATGAAAGTCTGTCGAAAAAAATCGCACAGATGCAGGTTTGAAGCCCAAAGAAAAAAAACCGATACGAGTAAACAACAAAGTAACAAAAGAGCTCAATACAACCGTAGAGCAGACCTCAATGAACCTAGTGAGCCAGACAAACCTACCTAGGTTTCATTTAAACGGATCGTCAAGGAAAGCCGGCTTTCCTGACGATCCGTTTAGTGAAAACCTAGGTAGGTTTGTCTGGTTTACTAGGTTCATATATATATATATATATATATATATATATATATATATATATATATATATATATATAACAAATACATTGGTGAAGCCAACAGGCAATAGCTAAAAGACCCCAATCAATGGAAAATTTCAAAGAAGGAAAGACAAAAGATAAATACTATAAGTCAAACAATTACATATTCGGTAAAGAAATATACTCAACGCCTAGATTAACGAGATAGAGCACAAATCGCTACAAAACGTTAACTCCTATCAAAGAACAGACCGGGTTGTTACTCTAGTTTCACACTCATTCGATCTTCAGACGACTTGAACATTCAAGTCGTTTGACGATCGTGTGAGCAGGAAATTCCGGTAACGACCCGTGATGTTCTTCATGTCACGTCATAATAATAAAAAAAAAAGCATTCTTTTTTATGTCGGCCTCGTTCCTAATATTCGTTACACATGATGTCAGCGTGAGCTATTTCAGACCTCCAACTGTCAAAGATGACCAGGACGTAGACAAAAGGCACATAGCATACAAACACCACATGGGTTCTTGAAAATATCTGAGACGCTCGAAAATACTTAAACAAAGGATAAACACATGAACTTCGGAAAGTTTATAGACAATTCAGAGCACAATATTATCTTAATTGCTAGATTTAATGTCATGAGAAATATAAAAAAATATATATATCCCAATATAGATAGTGCTTAACTACTCCAGCATTACGATAAACTGATATATTTGCAAATTATATATGAGTAAATGTCAATTCACACTCAGCACCTAAATATTATGTTTAACATGAAACTCCGAGACGTGCTAGCGGTATTGGATAATATGTATATTTTTAATACACACACACACACACACAGACACGCATATATATATATATATATATATATATATATATATATATATATATATATATATATATAAACCTTCTACAAATTTTTAAAAATATATATATATATATATAAGAGAGAGAGAGAGAAATATTGATATTAAAAAAATGGTATCACCGAACATAAAACCTACAACCTTTATCCGGATAGTGTTAAACCAAAACGATAATTCGGAAAATAGAAATATTAAAAAAGGCCTTAAGGGTTACTCAGTAAAGTGCTCAAAGTATAGATTGCCTAGACAGAGCAACATTAATTCCTATGAAAGGATGACCTTAGTCGTAACCCGATTTTCAAGCAAAATTCAGACGACTAGGGCCATCATTTCAGAAAATATATATATATATATATATATATATATACACACAAAAGGTACTATATATGTATATATATATATATATATATATATATATATATATATATATTTCTTTTGAATTTGTAAGTCTGATGAATTGGATCATGATTATGATTCCAATGTAATAAATTATAACCATGAAATATTAGTGCTTGAGGCCTTTTATATATATATATATATATATATATATATATATATATATATATATATATAATACATATATATACATATTATATATATATATTTAATATAATACATACATACATATATATATATACATATATATATATATATATATATATATATATATATATATATATATATATATAAAAGTGAAGATTGAAGTCAATACTTAGAGGCGACAGTCTGTTTCATGCTAGATGCAATCGTCAGGACAAAAATATAGCACACCTTAAGACTATATTTCTTCATCTTTATATATATATATATATACATATATATATATATAGTGTGTGTGTGTGTGTGTGTGTGTATGCATATATATATAT